ATGTCTTTGAAGTTACTGAAGTAAGTATAGAAAAACAAAGGGAACGGCGTAATTGTGTTATCTAGATATTTTCAACCCCAACCAAATGTTAGGTCTAGATATCAGAGAAGCGTAAAATATCTCACGTTCACGCCGTTGATTGAGAATACGATAGGTCTAATCCCTTGTTTATTTTCCTATTTTTCATTTTTCTAATTAGAATATTGAAATAACTTTATAATTTATTTTTCTTATTTTCTTTTTTTTTTAAGATGTGGTACAGTTAATCGTGCGATGAAATTTCAATGATTCGTACACACGCCGAAAGAAAAATTATGTAAGCTAATGGACGATTTAAAGAGGTAATAATGTTATTTTGAAATACCTGTCGTTTCAAACGCAAAGTTCCATTGTATCATATTAGTTCTATCCTATGCTTAGTCAACACGCGTGCATGCTTCGTACACGCATATACTAAATACACGAACACGATTGTATTCACACATACACGCGCGTATGCGTATACACATACACATCACTAACAGTAAATTGTCTTATCTTATAGCGTGTCTAGAGTCTTGCGTCTGTAAGATCTTGTATCTATGATTAGAAAACTTGACCGATAATCGGCAATTACTATATAGAAATTATTATATACGTATTTGACGTGTCTTTTAGAACGCCTTGAAAACGAGGTAACGCGTGAGAAAAAAGAAAAAAAGAAGAAAAAATATTTCTGAAAAATTAAAAAGAAACTCATACCAACACAAGATTAAAATTGGCGATCTCACCGACGACAAGCATTAAAGTGTTACTTAAAATTTGCATCGTACAAGTTAGATTACGAAAAACACGATACATCACGAATAACTTATCGGATAATAGAAATTTTTCCTTTTCCAAACTATTTAGTAAAACAGAGTATTTTTCTGGTATTTTTCCTAAGGACCAGAATTCATATTTTCTAAGCCGCGATCAAGGGAAAATACCGAAGACGTTTTTCTTAAGTTCATCGATGTAGACAATAAGAACAGGTTCGAAACGTCGTTGCATCGGAATCGTTTACTTACACGCATCACTCGTGAGTCACAATTTTCATTCTAGACAACTTCCAGCAAGCAGACGAACGTAAAATGTCTTTGTTGACGCCAACTTTCCAGTAAGGACTAAAGTACCATTTAACTGTCTGCAGCATTGCAATCTTATTTGAACAGAGCAAACGGTTTGTAAAATATTTGTCCAAAAAACCTCTTTTAGATATTTACAAATATTTTGGAAGTATATGTGTTCAATGTGTTTTTGGAAATTTAGGTTATCTTAGGTTATCTTAGGTTATCTGTGGCAAGCAAGAGAAAGTTCTTCAAACGTATGATATATTTGAAATTTACCAAACTCCATAGATTTATTTCATGTACGGAACGGAGTGTCACATATTTAAGAAGAAATATCAGATTAGAGTTCAGGAATATTGGTTGCTCAGAGGTATTAAGACATATTCCTTATTTTGCAGTTGACTACGTCGATTATCTTTTTTTCAATTTTTTTATTCCGTCTGACTGTCTCGAAGGCAGAGTCAAAATGCTTTTCCCCTAACCTCTCAATGCATCTCTCAAAAGTTCTACGTGATAAACATCAAGAATATATTTAAACGTCAGGTTCACGATTTTCTCTCGATCGCTACTTAAAAAACGATTCTAACCAGTATTCGTGAACTCTATAATGATAAACTCAAAATAATTGGAGACGATATTTAAAATCGGTATTATGTGTAAAACTTAACTTTGCGCTAATTAATGATAATGAATAGATATGCTAACGGTTCGTTCATTATACATTAGAGATATTGACAAAACACGAGTAACTATTGCTTCAAAATATTCTTCAGGAAAGTCCAGGCACAAAAATTCATACATTCTAGTACATGCAGAGAAACGCAAAATTAACCTAACCTAATTTTTCATCACTTCACTTTAGCAAAACAGAATTAACGTTAATTAATACGCATATGATGAGAGCTTTTTCAATTGGCACCATTTTAAACGACGAAAGGATCCGTGAGGGGTACAAAATGCATGTAATATCTCGTCTATTTTAACGTAGGCACATTGTATTTGAATAAGATTCAATGATCTATCTTCTCTATACGAAATCTATCTCCTTCTCGATAGCTAGTCGCATCTTTATCGAGAATATTTTCGGTGGTATCTACTAGAAGTAGTATTATGACTGCTGGACAGAGAAATCGAAAGGGAATTGATCCGTGAAAAGGGCTCGATGTCCCAGAGAAAAAAGCCAACTAGAGTGATGAATCGTTTAAAGAGTCATTGAGCTGTTCACGGCCAACATCAATACTTAAGGAGAACTATTAAATAGAACAATGGAAGATTATGGTCGGGCTGTGCTTGTACTGGCTGACAGATGGTCCAATCGTATAGAATACTTACTCATTAAGAAGAATATTAATTGTGGACATAAAAATATAGCCTGACTGTGTTACACGGCGCACGAAAAACCGTACCAGAAAAAATGTTATGCATTCGCAAATAAGAATTGGAGATTTCATATGTCTGTAAATTTCGTCCAATCAATTCTCTATGAAACGTAAAATTGATTTTAATACATATTTTAACATCTACCTTCTTCAGATGAAATGGAAAAAATGTTTGAATGTGGTAAAAAAAAAAAAATGTTATTCCTGTTATTTAATTGTACAAATTTAAATACATCCGATAAATACATTAAACGTTAACATCGGAATTATTGCTCAAATCAGTGAATATTAGGATGAATGGTAATGATATTCTCTGCTGTTTATTATACACAACTTAACCATTTAACTACTATCTGAATTTCAATTAATCGTAGAAATGGAAATTGATATAGATACATCTTTCAAAATGCAAATGTTTCTGAAGAGAACGCAACGATTACTCAAATCATGAATTTTAAATGGAAAAAGTTGTGAAATACAGTCCTTTAAATATACTAATAAAAAAAAGTAATTTATACGAGGCGTTCTCTGAAATTGGATAACTTTACGTATACGCCAAAAAAGTTAAACAATCATAGATTTTTCATTATTGAGCAGTGTAGTATCGATCTTTTCAACATAACCTAAATGTGTACATCTCGGATTAATTGTTTCACAGTTCTTTAAAAGTTCAATATTAGATGACATGCGAGTTTTCAGGCACCGTGCGTTATCACAGCAAGTTGACAAAAAAATACATATACGATATGTTACAACTAAAGGAATTTAAACAAAGAAGAAAAAAGAGAGAAAGTGGTAAAAATATTCATATGATGGTATATTTTCGGTGTAAAGCAAATGTATATGTAAAATGTATCCGTGGTAAAACTACGTATATCTTGTAGCTTTAACGTACCGATGGAAGCAATCCTCTTTGCGAGCATTTTGGAAATTCTAAATCGAAGAGAATAAACATTATAAAATGAGCACGAAGAGCTATGCACAGATGAATCCATATTTTTCATTTAATGCCTTGAAAGAGGACTTGCTTCCGATCGATACAAGCATGTAATCGGACTATTCGTTTGAATGTTGATTGTTAAATGTTAGGATAGAGAACTTTAAGAAAAAATGCCCAGTCTACAAGCATCGTGCATCGGAAACATTTCGTTGCATACGGAATTCTGTTAGATCAGTAAAATTTTTTCATCGAAATGAAACATCGATCGTTACTTATTTCGCATTAAATATATGTTCTTAAAAACTTTGATCATGTAATAGTCTTTTCGCGTGTCACGTACCGTCTAATATGCATATATTGGCACTTAAAAATTAATGTTACTTTGTTGTTTACACATATCGTTAAAAAATTTGTGTCATGTGTAATATCGATTATTCTATTAAAAACTTACAATATTACGAGGCGTCTGGAATCAATACCCACCAAATCCATTTCTTGTTTTAATAATTCATTTTGCAATTCATTGTTATTATTATTTTTTAACTGAGAAAGTCAATCGGACTTGGCGAGTTTTGATTTTAAATGTCTCATATATTTAAATATATTATTAGTTAAAATTTGTCCACTTTCTTTATTAACAAGTACTATGAATGATTTACAGATAATTTGACTTTATTTGTACATAAAACAAATGCATTAAATTCTCATATCAGTATCACATAGAAATGCTGCCTTAAATAGGCTTTAAATTTATTTCGCTCAGTTTTGCGTATACGTTCTTATTTTTTTCCTTTTTTAAATACTTATACTAAAGTACACTTTTTCGCAAACGTAATTCACATGAATAATATGTTTACGATTTTTTCGAAACATAAATAGTTTTATTTAAAAAGTACGATCACTGCCATTGCTTGTTTGCAATGAAATTCATCTTTCCTGTTAGGGATTTTTACACTGTCCCAAAGGTGTAACCATTACTATTAAAAAACTGGTGTCAACGAATAAATTTGAGTTTATATTTATTGAAATGAATTACAACTCTAAAGGCGCACGAAAATATTTTCAATGATAAAATCATCGTTTGGAACGCTGCGTTCACAATTATTTTAGTTATGACAAAGCCTACTGATTTAAATAATCTTAACTAGTTATTGTACTATACTTGAAAGTATGTAACTATTTTATAAATAAATAGATAATCAATGTTAATTGCTTTATATTTTGTTGTAGTAATTTACTTACCAAAGACCAGGTACAAATACTAAGAAAAGAGTATATTTTATAAAAGACTTCATCGTTTTATTTTTCCCATTCATAATTATACAACTTACTTTATTTTTAGTTACACTTAAAAATATTGCATAAAGTATTATGAATTTTTTGTATATATCTTATAAAATTTTCTCAGTTACTAACTCTTATTTTTATATGGTGATTTGTAAATTAATAATATTGACCAAAATGTATTATCAAATTTATAAACAATACATTTCATATATCAATACATCTTTCATATTGATATATACACCGTCATTTCAATGTTGAAACATATAATACACAGTTCCTTCCAAGTACATAGGTCATAATATATTAATTAAAATCGTGTTTTTATAAAAATTTAAAAGAAACTACGTTGTTACTGATTCTGATTTCATTTTATCCAATAACTGTTGACCAATATAATCCCAATATCTCCTTCTTATTGTATCATGTTTCTCACATAATTCTTTACATAGCTAGATATAATTACAAACATAATTAGAAATAGTACAGATAATTCATAAATACAGATATAAGTAAGAAAGACTATACCTTAAGAGCATTAGTAATATGAAATATTGAATCTGGTGATTCCTCTGATATTGGTTTTTCCTGACAAATGTCTATAATACAAGCCAGCAAATGATTAACACGACAACCAGCATGGTACAATTCCTCACACTTCTGTCTTACTCTTTCATTATAGGCCAAACCCTGGCTATCTTGCATTAAGATACTAAAATGTGGCATAAAATTCATACATTAATTAAATTGCACAATTTAAAAACATGGATTGCATAAAAAACTATCACCAACATTACCCTCGTAGGTAATTCCAAGCACTTTCATTTCCTTTGACTAAATCAATTTTATCCAAGGCAAACTCAATTTCTCTGTCAATTACGCTTTGTTCAAATTTTGTTGTATTACTTAATACAAAATAACGTTGATTCCAAGCAGAATTATTGCGAATATCTTCATTCAATAAGTGTTCTGTATATTCTAACTCTTTGTCAAATAAACTGCAGATTATATACAGTATTTATTTTATATATTAGTACCTAAAAATATAAATTAACGATAGTAAAAGCAAATCAAGTATACTAACTTAAATGTTTTTATACACCACTGGCGATATTGCCAAACATGATAATTCTTTGCATCAAGTTTTAAAATATTTTCTATAAATTCTAATTCTCCACTGGGATCTTGCATCCATTCAACAATAACTTTTCTATGATGCCAAACTTGGTAATTTTTAGAGCTGTCATATGTCAACAGATTAATAGATTTTAATTCATCTCGTAACTCTTCATATGTGTCCCTAACTTAAAATAATAATAAAATTTTAGTAAAAGGAAATATTATATCGATTTAAAGTAATATTAAATAAAAATAGTATACTTTTAATAGCTCGGAAATAGTCATATGTGTCCCTAACTTAAAATAATAATAAAATTTTAGTAAAAGGAAATATTATATCGATTTAAAGTAATATTAAATAAAAATAGTATACTTTGTAAATATTAAAATTATTCAGTCCAATAGATATTATTTTTTGTTTTACATGAAATACCTTCTAATCAATGCAGATTATGATTCTTAAATAAATAAAGTGGAACAAACATAATGCAAAAGAATAATAACATATCTTTATCACACAAATTTATATGATTTACTTCTATTCTTTGAGTTATTTTTCAAATATTATTTACTTATTTTTTCAACTATAAAATATATGTAACTAAGATTTAAATGTATTATAAAATACATTAAATAGTAAAAAATAAAATAATGCACAAATTTACAGTTTTATCTACCTTCTACTTCGGTATATAGAAAAATACTTGTTATCTACTTTAAAATGAAGGTTATATAAGGTTAGGTGTGAGTTAGAATAAGAATACATAACTCTGACGAAATAAAATTTATAACCTTATTATCATTTAAACATGGTATTTAGCTCATAAAACATGCAAAATACTTACATTTTTCAGAATAAGCAATTGAAACAATAGGATCGGGACCATCATCCTGAGGCACAGGAATTACATCTCTCCATTCTTCACGATCCCTATATAATACCCAGCTTGAATCTTCAGAATTTTCATCAGAGCTTTCCATCATCTTTTATTTTCACAAAATATCGTGGAACTGACAAAACTGAAAATTAACTTCCACGACTTGATTATGTTAGCTGTTTTATCTTTTCAAACCTGTTAATCCTCCCATTACAGATAGGGAAATAGCATATCGACTATTATCGATAGTTTCCGGTATCGAAATTTATCTCCTTGTTTTTAATACTATCGATAGTTTAGATACTTCCTTTTCGTGATTGTGCATTTTCGATATACATTGCAAATATTGAAAATTTATGGCATATTCACGCACACAACTGATTTTCAGATTTGTGTGAATTTCCCCTAATGTTGATCATAATTAAAACTATGATACTGTTTATGAAGTTTTAATAATTTTATGTCCAAAATCATCCAACTCATTGATTATATTATTATTGTCGTGAAATATATATTTCAACTATTCAACAATTTAAATATAGATATTTTATATATAATTACAAATTATTAGTCTTTTCATATATTTTTAAATTAATATTTTTAAAATATTAAACTTGTTCATATAAAAAAGGAGAAATGTATTTTCATTACATAACACAAACTATTTTAACTAAAGTTAAAATTTATTGAAAAATATGAACATGTGTACATACTTTGGAATAAAATAGTTTATATTTCTTTATGTTGCTTTAAATTACTAGTATTATAATCAATAAAAACCTAGATCCCTGAATTATAGAAACCACTTTAAATATGTCTTATTCTATATAAAAAAAATAAAAATGAAATTCATTATTTTCTGCTTTTAACTATAATTTTCATGTAGAAAATCTTAGAAAATATTAAAATGTTAATTAATACTTCTTAATTTGTAAAATTTGTAATGAAACACTTTATACATTAACATATATGTTATTTTTTCATAAATTTATTGGACAACACATTGAAAACATTAAATTAGGTTGTGGAGCCCAATGTTCCAAATAAAAAATTTTAATAACATGGTTATATTGTAATACAATATTACCTAAAGTATTCTACATATCACGTACATTCTAAAGAATAATCTGTCTTGTATCGAGCATTCATCCCATTCTCACATCGCATTTCTTCCACACTCATACTAAACTAATATTTTGTAATTGCAGTTCTTTCGAGCTACTAATTTACTGTCATATATGGCCAAGTATTTGAAATTGATAAACAAATCGCGTATTTACATTAGTATGTAAATACAATGTAATACAAAATTTGATAAAGCAAATGCTATAATGCAAGTCGTTATATACAGAGTTTACAATTTAAGTTGCTTTTACAAAATTGTAATTGAATATATAATAAATAATATATTACGCATAGCATTTCTTTGTAGAGGATCACATTTATATATTCAACTTTTTGAACTGTATTCATTAGTACGGATAGAAATAAACATGGTCTTTAAGCCTGACGATCGTTAAAATAACCTTTTTATGCAATCACAAAGATATAGAAATTACAAACATTTAATGAAAATAGGTTTCTCTGTACTTTATCCTCCAAATTTAAATTTACTATAGTAGCTTACACACGCTCAAAAATGAAAATGCAAAATCATTTTTGTTATATTTTGTTGCATGTTATATAATGATGCATTTTTCTTGAGCATGTGAATTGATGCTTTTATAACTTTATGTGTACAATTAATTTTTGTCTGAATGTTAACTGAATATAATTAATTTTTCTCTTCTTTTTTTTCAGGTCCATCTTCTTGTTGTTGTTGACTTTGACTTTGGCTTTGTCCTTCTCGTTCTGCGGCCATCTATACGTAATTAAATGAATTTAATAATGAATGCTTGTATAACAATACCTTCAATCAATCAAATAAATTACACACCTTCTTATACGCCATTTCAAACAATTTGAGACTTGCTTGTTGTAATTCATTTGTTTGGCTCTTAATTTCTTCTGGTGCAGTGTCATCTTTCTTCGCTAATGTTTCACGTACTTTTGCAACTAATTCTCTGAGTTTATCACACTATAAACAATTATTGCATAATATGATGAAAAGAATTAAATTAATATAGTATAAGTATTAAATAATAGAAAATTAATAATATATTCATATTATTAAAAATATTTAAATATAATACAAACAGTAGTGCTTTATATATAGCCTTACTTCGTCTTGTGGTAACTGTGCTTTAAATTCTTCTAATTTAGCTTCTGTATCGTGAATAATTCCCTCAGCTTGATTTACAGCTTCAACTCTATCTTTTTTGATTTTATCTTGTTTCGCGTATTGCTCAGCATTTTTTACCATATTTTCAATTTCATCTTTACTAAGACCGCCACTTGATTGAATAACAACTACAAATAAAAATTAGAAATTGAATTGGTCAATTAATTTTGTTAGTCCATATTAAAATCGTCTCGCTCTACTTGTGAAATACAATAAAAATTATATTTGAATTGCTTCCTACATATACATACTTTGTTGTTCTTTTCCAGTTCCTTTATCCCTAGCAGATACATGAACAATGCCATTGGCATCAATGTCAAATGTGACTTCTATTTGTGGCACTCCTCTGGGTGCAGGAGGAATTCCAATAAGAGTAAATTGTCCTAAAAGCTTATTGTCGCTAGCCATTTCTCGTTCGCCTTGATGTACTTTAATTTCAACTTGAGTTTGACCATCAGCAGCGGTTGAAAATACTTGACTTTTTTTAGTCGGAATAGTCGTATTTCGAGAAATTAATCGTGTAAAAACACCGCCCAATGTTTCAATACCTAAAACATACGAATATTAATTTTTGGTTATTCTCTAAATGTATCTAAGATAATACAAAAGTATTTTATTATAATAACTCAGCAATATAGAGTCTTCATTCTATTCAGAGAGAAGATTAGTTATTACAACCATCACAGTCTAAAAATAATTTTCACTAAATATATAAAGAAATAATTATATACCAAGTGACAGAGGAGTAACATCTAAGAGAAGAACATCAGTTACATCTCCAGCAAGAACACCACCTTGAACTGCAGCACCTACGGCTACAGCTTCGTCAGGGTTTACAGCCTTTGATGGCTGTCGACCAAAAATTTCTTGTACAGTTTGTTGAACTTTAGGTACTCTTGTCATACCACCAACTAACAATACTTCACCAATATCAGACTTTGATACTTCAGCATCGGAAAGTGCCTTTTGACATGGTTGGAGAGTACGTTTAATCAAATCACCAACAAGACTTTCAAATTTACTTCTTGAAAGTTTAAGATTTAAATGTTTTGGTCCACTAGAGTCCATAGTTAGATAAGGTAAATTTATGTCAGTTTGCAAAGAGCTAGATAATTCAATTTTTGCTTTTTCAGCTGCTTCTTTCAATCGTTGCATGGCCATTGTATCCTTAGTTACATCTATACCTTGCTGCACAAAAGAATAAAAATGACATTGAAATATTACATATATAATTTGATATATATTAAAAATAACATAAATTATTATGAAATACATACATCTTTTTTGAATTCTAATACAAGATAATTAACTAATGCATTATCGAAATCTTCACCTCCTAAGAAGGTATCTCCATTTGTAGACTTAACCTCAAAAACTCCTTTTTGAATTTCTAAAATTGAAATATCAAAAGTTCCACCACCTAAGTCATACACTGCAATACTGAAAAAAGATATTATATATGTAAAGTATACTTCTTTTATTAATTGAAATAGCAATAATATTATGAAAATAGTCAGTAAATGATTTCAGCATGTGTTACACAATAATTCTAAGAGACGAAAAATAATGACATCATTCTTTATTTTATATACTTTATAAATATATTTATATTATATGATTAAAAATATTAAAATTCTTACATTTTATCTTCTGTTTTGTCCATACCGTATGCAAGGGCAGCTGCTGTTGGTTCATTAATTACTCTAAGTACATTAAGCCCAGCAATTTGACCAGCATCCTTAGTAGCTTGCCTTTGTGAATCATTGAAATATGCAGGGACAGTAATTACAGCATTTTTTACTGATGTACTTAAATATGATTCTGCTGTTTCCTTCATCTTCATGAGCACAAATGCACCAATTTGACTAGGAGAATACATTTTACCATCACCTCCCTGTACCCATGCATCTCCATTAGAGGCTCGAACAATTTTGTAAGAAACAGATTTCCTAAAATTATAGATATTTAAAAAATAAATTATATATATTATATATGTATGTATGTATGTATGTATGTATGCACATAAGATACATACATATCCTTTTTTACTTCAGGATCTTCAAATTTTCGTCCAATTAGTCGCTTTGTAGCATAAAATGTGTTTGATGAATTTGTAACTGCCTGACGTTTGGCTGGCATACCAACTAAACGTTCTCCTTCTGAAATTTGATAAGTTCTTCATTTTATTTTTATTGAAATGGAAACTTCAGACCAATATTACTAATCAAATATTTTCTAATACATTCTAGAATTACAATTTAAAGCAATGTGTATTATTAAAGGTCATTTCAGAAATTAAAAGTCTCATTTCTATAATGTTACTTTTAGGTAGAAGTAAAATAATCATATATAAATAATATGCAAACTTATAGTAGTAAGATTTATCTTTAAGATGATAATATTTAATGAAAATACACTTTTAATTTCATAACTATATAACAATATAGTTCCTAACCTTTAGTAAATGCTACATAAGATGGAGTCGTTCGTGATCCTTCTGCATTTTCTATGACTTTAGCTTGTTTTCCTTCCATAACCGCTACACATGAGAATGTTGTACCAAGATCAATACCAATAACTGCACCTTTTACACCTTCAGATCTAAATAAATAAATAAATTAATAACTTTTACTTATAATATTTAAAAATATTATTAATGTTACATTATTAATAATATGAAAAAATTAAATATATAATTAAACATGTTAAATAATTATAGAATAATTTAGCTTTGATTTACTTGTGTCTGTACTGATGTAAATCTGTAAATCGTTGGGATACGGAGAATGTAGGAGCTGCAACCTGAAAATATTTAAATTTATTTAATTATATTGTCTAAAATTTTACAATATTTAGGTTTTAAATCTTAAATTTAAAAATTTTAAATAACTACAGCAGAATGAAAAAATGTTCAGTGATAATTATTACAAATATGTTACATAAATTTTTATATATACGTTTCATAAATGTTAACAAATGTACATCTTCATACAAAATCAAATTACAATATAAAAAAAAAGAACTAAATAAAAGCAGATCACGTGCCGGCTACAAAATCGGCAATGCTTAAGTGTTGATAGTAAAAATATTCAAATATAATATTCGTAAAATAAAAATAAATAGAATATAAACAGATGAAACCTATTTTACATGATTAATTAATCTTAACAGTATACAAATTCAATAAAACGGACAAACATTTTATAAATGAAATTATACGGCGTGTTCAGAATTGCCACCGAAACTTACATTTTTAAGAATTGTGCTGAATTGTTGTTTTCTAGTAATTTCGCAGGTTATATTACTACAACTACGAGTTAATAATCTTGCAGCAGTCAGCATCTTGATTTTATAGGTTTTATCGTACAAATTTATGAAAAACTTGGAAAGAGACGCGAGAACCCTTACTTCACGTGTAGTGATGCAACCTCCACAGAGTTATTAATGCGCACACTATACGCGCAGTGGAAGTTCTTCTTCTGTGTCGACCAATGAACAGAGTACTATTTGACCAATGAGAATTTTGCTCCCAATGGATACGCGAATCAACGTATTGCATGGCCTTCCTGTTCTTCGTTACTCGAGAATTATCCCGAATATTCTACTACTCTATAGATATCGTAACCATTAATCGACGAGTTATAAAAAAACTAGAATCAAAGAAATGAAATAAATATGCATATAATAATTTAGATTATATGTTATTATAATATCAAGTAATATCTGTTATTATTTCGTTATACCAATTCAAAAATATAGTTATTCAACAATTAGAATTTTCTACGATGGTATTACGCCCAGTTGTTTCCGGAATTTAAAAAGTGATGTAATATGTTAATAGTCTTACACTTATATAATACACTATTCAAAATTTATAATTATAAAATAATAACTTATACAATATGTATAAAATATATAATCAAATACGGAAGACATTTTATTTAAACCAAGAGTACTTTAACAATGATAAAAGTTTGTGTTAATTTCAAAATTCTTTTTTAATATCATATTTTTAATAAAAACTGACAAATGTTTTTTCGTAATCTCATTTTTAGGCAATAAATAATTTTTCGTACTATTATAAATTTGTTTCATAAATTTGTAATAATTAAAAATAATACAAATGTTATATTCTTATGTTACAAGTAATTTATTTGGTAAATATAAGTATACTTATATAAATAATAAAATTTGAGACATTATGTAGTTTATTATATTAAGGTTTTAAATCGTGTTCAATCATTGTTGATAACATAACTCTAAATTGATATATATATTATTATATTATAATGTGTAATTAATATAGTAAAATACTTTGATATGAAATTTTAAAAATAAATAAGTACTTTACCGAAAACTCACAGTTTAAAATTTTATTTTCTTTTTTTATGAAAAATAACAGTACAAAATATATAATATGTATATTTTACCAATTAAAAACTATTTTATTGCAAATTATACCCAAAAGGTCATTACATTTATTAAATATTTTAGTATTGAAAATATATATTTAATTACATAAATATTATTTAAAGAACTATTAAATATGTAAATCAGTTATAAAGGTATAATAGTATTTATCATTATAAATTTACATATATACAGAAAATATAAAAATACTTATATTTTGTTAAGATGATATATTTTTTAAATACAAAAATTATAATTGATAATATAAATGTATAAAAAATAAGTACTTCTTAAATAGTAATATGTGTAATTTACACTTACATTGTTACTTTTTACTTTAGTCAACTTTTAATTAAAAAAAAAAATTTAATTTTATACCTTAAAATAAAACAAAACATATGGAGTTATACCTTCTGCGGTAAGGAACAATCTTGATTAATATAACTAATATTTTCTATTAATAACAACTAAATAATATTTGTTATATACAATTACAAATATCAGAGAAATTATGAATTACTTTTTTCTTTCCAAAATAAAAGATTTGGCGATCCATTCATGTGTATTGTACAATTTATCACTTCATTTCTAAAAATTTAAATTATTATTATGTTTCTTCCTATAATAAGTATTTTATATATTTCTGAGTAAAATAATAAACTTACAAGAAACGATCTCTTAAAAGAAATGCTTTAGGTTGCATCCAATTTAGTCTTTCACCATTGTAGCATAAGATTTGTGTCATTGTTATTTTTCGAATTTCTTCTAATTGATTTAAGGTAAATGATCCTGGACTGTTTGCATTTTCATACCAATATCGATCACCTGAATAATGTATCATAAATGTTATGCTTATTATTAACAATTACTTATTGTATAGTTCTAAAGTAATACAATTTTATATGTTTTTATAATTGAACATAAATCATTTACCAAAACGAATATTCCGGAAGGTACGTCCTAGTAAACAAAGGAATGTTGGTCCTAAGACAGAATCAGGTAAAGGTGCTTCTGAGAGTAATCCTGTTACTAAATCTATATCCTCTATGTTTCTGTAAATTAGAAAGAATGTAAGTTGTAGTAATTATAGTAATGTAAGTAATGTGTGTAAATTACTAAATGTAGTAATTAATAACAAGCATAAATTGTAGTAATTAATTAATGGTAGAAATTATTAACTATAAATTGAAATATTCAGGGTTAAATAATAAATCATTATGATTGTATGTTTTGTGTGACAGTTTAATTTCTTATTAATGTATTAACGTATTATTTCTTATTAACATATTAGAAATTTAAATAAGAAATATATAGATAATATTATATAATATTATATAAAAATATATATCAAATTAACTTATTATATATAGCTTTTTTAATAATGTATACTTCACTAGATGTATTTATTACATTATATCAAATTAATAAAAAAAATTAATTTTAATGTATCCCCTAATTTAAATATTAATTATAGTACATCTGTTTTTATAATATTGCTATACATTATTAATTTCTCATATGAATACTTATAATTATTACTTATTTATTTCTTACTTATAAACTTTTCGAAGTCTTTCTATAGTATCTTTGGTCATTGTTCCCCTAAGGTCTTCAAAATGGACGATGTGTGGTAAATTGCAAAACGATCGCCATTTGACATAAGGTGATAAACCGTGATCTCTTCCTTGTTGTATAAGTTGTGCAGCATAATCCACGGCAATATCATTGCTTTTTCCATCATGGAAATATCGTTCCAAAAGGATTTCATTCAGTCCCGGCGGCAATGGCTTCCTAGAATGTCCCGCTGTCGCGGAAATTAAATCTTGCATCCTAGATCGTCATTAAAACCAAGTTCTCATGGGACGTGTTAGCAAATCGTAGTGATATTTAAGAAAATTTTATGTAATTCTTACGTGTACTTTTAGCAAGCCTTTTTTTTAGTACGATTATAGAATCTTAAAATGATACATATAATGAAAAGTTAAATTAAATAAAACTACTTTGATTTTGTAATTGCTAAATGTAATATCGCAATTAAATCATTATTCTAATAAATAGATTCGAATATTATTCTTAAAACAAAATAGCATTAATTTTATATTTATTATGTAAATTTCCATCAGTAATTAGAATATACTATATTACATAATATTAATAAATATATAATAATCCAATTTATGCATTTATCTCTTGTGTTATTATGTAACAAATGCTTTTAAAATAATAATTGATTCCAAAATGTTTTGTACCGATTTCATTCTTTTTCCTTATCATTTATTATCATCTACATATCATTTATTTATAAAATGATTCTTTTTCAATTGTTGCGTATGCAGAAATTACAAAACGAATAATTATTTTCTATCGAAATATATCGTTTTATTTTGTTAGCTTTCGCGTAATGAATTATCTGAGAGAAAGGTTATTATCATTATATGATTTTAGAACGATCAGTCTTCGAATCTAAAGATCTGTAAGGCTCACGCAATGTAGTCTATTACATTCTATAACTGTTGCACGCTTCGAAAGGTTGCGTTAAAAACTTTGCCATTTAAAGTAACATCTTCGCAAATGACTTTAACAATAAATAACTACGAGTCAAATAATTTACTTGAACTACTGGCATTTTGAGTGACATACATTCGTAACAACTAATTCTTTTGTTCAGGCTGATCAAATAAATACGAATAAAACAAAGATGCATGACAAAATTAAAATTTAACCAAAATAAAACTAACAATTGTTTCAAATTAAAACATTATAAACAAAAAATATCTAATTATAAACAAATAATTACAAATAATAAAAAATAATTAAAAGCTTTTAACTGATATGTGACTTATACTCAAAACATTTTAACAGTATCTTAAGGAATCTTGTTCATATAATTATGGCTTTCAATTCTTTTCTTGTTCGTTAAACATTATATCATTCTCGGGCATTTACAATGTATTGTCTGTAACCAATAAAATTGTAACTGATCTTACGAAACCAATACTAACAGCAGCCTAATCCTCTCCTGTCGACTAATGTCGATCACCGTTAACCATCCGGTGCTTTCCAATGGCTAATTTCATGAAGTGTGCGTCTGACTAAGGATTGTTGGAATTATATTTACAGGTAATTTCAACTGACCTGTAGCACCAGCAATCAAGCGATCAATAGCACCAGCTTCATAGAACTCTTGCGGAGCGTAGAAGGCCGATAGTAAGGACCTTTCTCCAGACTTTAACGCCGATCGCGAGTCAACTAGGTCGAGGGTTTTTGGGGTCAGCGTGGCAATGAAGAAGAGCCCAGCAGATGCAGCAGCATTTGAAAGTGTCGCATCTGTTCGAATATCGTAGCCTCGAAAATAGCCTCGATGCGTTAAACGTAACTGGAATCTATTAATATTTCACAGAATTAAGTAATTTCATAGTATATATGTATACATATAACATGTACAATCTATACGCATACATGGAATATTGAAACATTTCTCTATTATATGGATAAGAAAGAGACAAAACGTGATAAATACGTTATTATGAAGATTAGGCTTATGGGAAAGTTTTATCATACCTTCTCATAGACACTTGGGTTCAAAAATCTATGAAACTACTAATTGTAAGTAAAGTTGGAATTGTAGATGTTCCAATTCATTCTTTGTAACAAATATATATTATAATAATTAATATCTATGAATTAATGAATAATGCTAATAGCGATGTGATAGAATAGAGCATTTAATTTAATATAAAAATATAAATATAGAGAATTCAATAAATGAATCTTGCAAATGTTATCAATATTTAAGTATTTTTTACTCCAAATCACATAAATACCTCGAATGCTTCAAACAATATATTATATTATTACAGTATATACTTTTAAACGTTTAGTCAAATGTATTTAGTTTAGCTTCTCTACATTCGCAGATCATGTAGATACAAGATAAAAGATACACATCGATAAAATAACAAATTAATAATAAAATGGAATAAAAATTTCATCCTACCCATTCATCGAACTAGCAAAACTGTTAATCTGTTAAATTAATTATAATTGTTAATTTATTAAATTAATTATAAAGCGAAAGAGAGTATACGTACTTGTCGAGTGTTGTTTCACCGAGAACAACCGGTAGAAACTCGTTATAAGTTATATGCTCCATTTCCGCGATAACGATCCTTCTTGCTTCCTGGTAGAGTCTCTCGTCGTCCCACTGAGGATTCAGTTGTCCCAGCTCCGTAGCGACTCGGTTATGTTCTCGTAGAAAAAGTACATGCATTAGAGTGAGACCAGGGTTCTCGTTTACCCGTGAATCCCCGCTAAGAAAACATGGGAAAGCTTTGTTCGCGCTTCTACAACTTTCGTACTTCGGTGATGGCATAGGCAAGTTCTTCCTTTGCGTATTAAGTAAACCGCCCTTGCCGGATCGTAGAGCTTTTGCTACATTTTCGGAACTCCCATAAAGAGGCGAAAGATCTAAGTAAGACGACGCTTGGTTGATTTGCTGCCTGGGACCCAATTTGCAACCCTATGGAGAAAAATACTTTGTACACTTTTCGTTAAGTACTATGTTAAACATTCTTCGCTATTCAAATATAGTTTTCCACTCTCACCAATGACGTAGTACACTTAGGAATGTAGAATATGACATGGAACAATAGAGTAAGTATAGTTCGAACGATATACAGGGTGTTAATGCCAATTTCGCTCAGGAAAATGTTTACATGCTACAAACGATAAGGCAGATATTAGGTGATATGATTTAACTGAAACATTCTATAGAGTGAGAGCATAAACTATAAAACTGAGCCTTTAACCGATACTTCCGATTGATTCCGAAATAATACGATAGATGTCACCAATGTTCACGATTGCCTCTTATTTGATACTAATTGTAAGAAGGGGAGCCTGAGAAACGATCCCCACCGATTACAATGAAATTTGACAAAGTGGTAGATTTATATCAGCAATAATTGATAGTTTACTAACTACCAATTTACTGTTACTAAATTCTGTTTAACATTTCAACGCTGTCAGAAAACTTCAACTTTTCATAAATTATTATTTGCAATACCCAAAACTCGAAAAACTCGTTTCAAATCAACATTGTACGGCATTGATTGACGTCGAAGCATGTTATTTCCCCGCAATATTTAAAATTGTTGTTTTAAAAATCAGAATACTCGTATATACGTTTACATTTGATTGGTGTAACCAACCACAACTTTGCTATATCGTTCGAGTCAATTCTACGTTGGATATCGAAAATATCACAATTGCATCATTCGTAATGTAGCCAATAATTCTATTTTACATTATACTTCAACGAAACATTCACAATTTCGCAAGAGCCTACGCAAAGAACTTAATTCGCACGTTATATTTCTACGTATGTATTACCTGCAGCGAATTTCCTGGGTGCGGCGCCGATCTGGAATATTCCATACAACCGACAGCATTCTCGGCTCGAATCGGAAAGCATTCCGGATGGAAGTGTTCATATTCTACGTCGCAACATTTTAATTTCGCCCCATCAGGTAGTTCCATCTTTGGTGTATGTGCAAGGTCGTGCACGAGGAATTGGCCGAATAGCGCGGTAAGCGCCATTAGATACGGATGCTTAAGGTCCGACCCCCCGGAATGCACCTTCAAGGAGACGTCCCTGGCGCTAGGCAAATCCGTGCGTGGCAAAGACACACCGTCGGCATATTCAGGTGGTAGAAATCGCACGTAAGCTTCCAGAGCAGCGCCCCAAGTCGGATGTAAACCATTGTTACACTTTCCACTGTGTGTCCTATAGCGTGGATCTATCCTCTTGCAGCTATCCATCACTTGCAAAAATGTGGGTGAACCAGGACAATTGATAGCGGCTACTGACGGTAACACGGAAGACGCTTCCTTCGATGACATATTCAAAGCTTCCACTAACATCACGGCCATTGTTTCGATTCGTAGCGCTTTCCGCGAGAGATTCTGTGCGTGCTCTGTCATTTCGTGAGATGCGCCGAGGAACCACGAAGGGGAACCATGGTTCAAGTGTGTGCGCGAGTTCAGGATCGCCTGTTCTGCCTGATCATATTTCTCCATCGAAATGTTTGTACGCCTACCCAGATCCAGTAACATGTTTGACGGTAAGGTCGTACTACCGACGAGTACGAATATGGCAAGGAATCTGCGAATCGGAATCTAAAGATAGGAAATATAGGCTTGTCCATATGTAGAGTTGCGAACGTGGCGTTGACATTTTTATAATAAATTTTTTACAGGTGAGAGAAGTGTTAGTGAATTGTAATTGTTTTTAGTATAGTTTGAGGGAATCAAAAGTGTGAGAAGAAGGAGTGCATGTTCGATAATAAATGCAAACTTCTGAAGCAATTTTCGTTTCTTTGTAACGAATCATCAATTATCTATAATGAAGTAGGAAATAATACACCAGTACGAAATACTGTTACTATCAACATCGTGGGAACGGAATGGTAAAGTCCATTTCTTGTGAGCAGTGCACTCATTGTTAGGGTAAATACCTATTCATGGTTTTCTTATCTATAAGGGTCATCAGAAGTGTTATTGAACCTTAACCTTTCGTAAACGTTTTTTTCTGAAATAACAGGCAATAAGGTACACGATTTAAGTAACAGCCGAAACTCGATTATATCTGGTAATGAAATACGGCTACTACGCAAAGTATAGAATTTTATATACTGCATACCTTTGAGTTTCGTACAAAACGTGATTAGCGTCTTAATTCTTGAAGAATAGAAAATGTCTAATTAGACACGACTAAAGCTGAAACTTTCGTGCCAGTATGAAACCTTTGAGTATTAACATTGTGAGAATATAGATGTTGTAAACATCACGGTAATGTTACACCTTCCACTTCAAGTGTACTCGTGAGAAATCGTCTATAACTTCTATTATACAGTAGTATACCTTGACGTTACCTAATAATTGTCATGTAAATTCAATGGTTGTCTTATTACCTAACTTGACGATGATGCGATAGGATCAACCATTAAAAACACAATCATAGGGTTGGGCGCATTCGGATTAGAAGTATGTCTTCGTTTTTATATCCGCATTGGAAATGGATTGGTATTGGTACATGACAGAACTAGCTTGTGAGTCTTCACGTGATGGAACGGGTACAAAATATTCCTATGATTTCTCAATAAATTAACTTTCTAATTAGCAACAGCAATAAAAAGAAGAAAAGAAAGGAAATGAATGTAGCAATACGAAGTGGATCGCCTGACTTACCGCAACATTTGTTGATTGCAATACCTGCAATGAACTCTAGAGACCTTGTCTAGAAGATGGCATTTCGCCTCATTCCGGGCTATTGTTCACCGTTCCATTTATCGCGTTAAATTCATTCATCGTTTTACCTACATCTCAAAAACGAGTCTCTTAACCGATGGTTAGCTATTTCTTTTTTGTAGTTATGTCAACTTGATATACCGACGCAATGGATTCGTCTGACCTTAAGGAAAGATTAAGCAAAACTCGGTGCTTGACATTTAAACTCCTTCCTGGTTCTTTTCTGACTCTGTTACGTAATCTCTGCTCCCATGATTAGTGGTCGTTGAAATTGATGGAAGCTATTATTCGAGAACGCGATTTCTTCTTGGTTAAAGAAACTTTTCGATACCGTTGATTTCTTTTCAATTTAGGAGCGAGTAAACATAATTATACGCACACGCTGTTTTCATATTTCACTGGAAAATACTATTTCTAAGAAACTGTTTATGTCACGCGTTGATCGTTCTTGTGATTGTTCTTAGTGTTGTGTGGGATGTTATGGCGAACAATTATAAACAAAATTTTGTTGGTAAAAAGAAATCAAGTATTTGTATAAATAAGCAAGAAATTTTTTCGTGGGTTAAAATTAAAGAAATTAAAATTGTTAGTAAATAGTCTCCCAAAGGATCAGCGAATTTAATTATATTTCTTTTTAATATTATTTACAAGGCATCATTGCATATACATTCAAACTGAAGTGATTATTTCAGTATAAAGAATGTTGAATATGAATATTAATATATCTGACGTATATCGTATTTTTTCATCCTGTGAAATAGTAGAAATATACAAATGACTTTTTTCTAGAATACCATTAAAAAAATTTTAAATCCAAATTTATCAACAATTTTTATACCGATGAATTTTAATTGTGTGAAGACAGCACAGGTTTAGATGCCGTAATTTTTTTCACAAATTATACAAAAAAACTCCTGCATATATGTACAAATTATTATATTTTATAATTCTTAGGAATTTATTTTTCACATAGAGGTATATTTTTTTTATTAAATGAAATGAAACATACAATTGGGTTTATTAAAATATATCAATAATTTCTTATTTTAACATTCTTTCCTAATTGTTAGAAATTTTCACCAATTAGTAATTATTTTGAAATTTTTTTATTATAATATAGAAAAATATATAAAGCGTGATTATTAATTTAAAAATAAGAACAAATAATATAATGTAATTTTTTTAGCAAGAGATGTTTTATAATATATTTTCTTCTTTCGTGGAAGTTTATTTGGTGATGTAGTGTGAATGATATTCAATGCAAAAAGCTTCAATTTTATAGTTTATAATTAAATGTTAGCTCTCTGATACATCAGTCACATTAATATGTTTTACATTGTATTTTATATAAAATACACATTTCCCTGCACATACATTTACAATCCTTAGTAAAAATATTTACAAATATTAATCTGATGAATGTTCAGAATAAATGTTATTACATCATTAAATGACAAGAGAAGCTTTCGAAATGTTATTTCAAAAGTTTATTTATATTTCTTTCAAATATTTTTATCTATACTAATAACATTATCAATATTTACTACGTATTTAATTTTCTAAGAGTTTAGAATTTACATTAAAAATAAATACAAGCACGTGGCCTATCTTCCATTATTGCAATAAAATTACAATGTTAACTAAATGTTGAAATAATTGTATAAAATACAAGTTACAAAATTTGCTTATAATATCTTTTAAAAATAAGTGTTGTAATTTTTATCACAAAAATAAGCCACTGGATAGAGTGATTGTACTCAACATGTTTGTTTTGCTAACACACACGTGTTACAATGAAGTTTACCATTTCGTCAAATGTACTCTTTGACAAATAACATAGATGATACATTACTGATATATATTTTAACATTTTCAGTAATATTAGCTCGTTAATGGAGCACCTTTGTTCACGGTAATCGAATATCTCGAATAACGATCAAATTTTGAGAATATAATTATCCATAATTCCGATAACTTTAAATTGCAAATGAGAAAAGCATTTTCAAACGTTAAAATATGTCAAACGTGTTAATTTTCTATGATAAACAACTTGAAATTTCACAAGAATCACTGTATGTCGTGAAGTGTGCGCGATATCGTTTATCTCGCAAAATGAAAGCGGAAACACTCACCGCGACAGGAAGGTAAATATACCGTTGACCGGCCTTCGTTTCACACACACGGACATTTTTCCAAAATTATCGTTCCAGTAAAACAGCAACTGATCCTACATTAATGCACGATAGAATTCATTTGCCTTGTAAAATTCCACAATAACTGCACCGGGTATGCGCAAGAACACGAAGCGGCAAACCTGAACTGAGACCAATCCTCGAACGAAAGTAAAACTTCAGTCAGTCTAGTGGGTTTAAAGAGTGGGGTTCAGTAAGGATCACGCTAATATAGGGTGTCAACAATGTACGCTGAACCGACGTATAACACTTAGAGATACGGTAAAAGCGCATCGTTGCTGCAGCCGGATTGGTATTATGAACAAGACCAAGGTTCACCTTTCATAGGCTATGGTAACCGTAGTCGTGGTTGGACGTACAGTTTCAAGGCTCCAAAGTGCATTCGCACTTTTGTATATATGGCACGCTGTATGTATACACATGCTGCGTGTTCTTTTACAGCATATCTTACGTTTTAGTGTTTCAGTGCCATTGCGCTATGCTAATTGACACTTACAGGCTCGACTGTAACGTTGTCTAGATATTAAGATTCTTGGGGACGTCGTCGCGAATGATTAACTGCACTGATCATACGTGTACGTATATACGCCTACACACTTGATGCGGCAATCCGCAAAGGGTAATACGTATCACATGTGGTTATTTATGTTGCACGTGGTGAGACAGACTAAAATAAACAAGTCTAGAGAATGAAGTGATTATGAGAATTAGTCGTGTAATGATACTTGTTTATATGATTTTTAGTAAACAGTTGATATCAATGGTTTAAAAAATGAGCGAAATTTAGTGACAGAATGACATTTTTCATCGAATGAAGAGGCTTTAATGTACTGAACATTAATTGTGTGCTACTTATTGCCATGTAAAAGAAAATGATAAATGAAGTGATATGTACCTTATGATTGTACATATAGCTTACCCGAAGTTCAATATTATAAAAATATCAAACTTCTTAGTTAACATATTAAATATAATTTTAATGAGAAGTTTTGTCCTAAATTAGTAAACGAATATATTATCCTTTCATTTGCCTTTCTTATTCCAATAATAAACAGTAAACTTTTTCGGAAAAAATGTATATAATAATGAATAAAAATATTTGTAACCTTGAATTGAATTTTAATTGTAAATTATAAATAATTTTGAAAATTTGATTTTATATTTTGGATCCAGGGTTTCTATAACTACTTGAAAATAAAACTATGTCATCAGAGAGGCCTTGAGCACTTTTATTTTCGCCCTATGTGCCACTGTTTACATTGTTCACTTTTTTGCTATTCTTTGCTTTCATAGTAATTATTTATTTAAAATGTATTGAAATTATCTATGATTGCATCGATATTAGCGTGTTAATATTTATTGCTGAAATTAAAGAACCCGTTTCTAAGAATGAATATCGTCTGTGTTATCAAGTACTGCTCCACTATAAGCTAAATCCCAATAATGTTCAACTTGATGTTTTTTAAAGTGCTCTCGAGCCATTTTTTCAATCGGACAAACTTTAAATTTGATTTCTCCAAAATGACGTTGTTTACTAGTACCTTCCCATACAAGAACGCATTTGTTCGGCACATCATTTCCATCGTTATCTTTTATAATATCTTCTTCCCATTTAATTCGGTTCATCATTAATCGTTTATATTTACTTAATTGTTTTGCTCCTCCTTCTACAACAACGACATTGCAGTCTCGGAATAGCATTACACAGCCCGTGAGATAAAGTTGTTTTGCATTTGTTTCCACTTTAAATTTCTTTGAAGCATTATTTAAAAGATCACGTATTCTGCAATTATAATATTAATAATTTTTACGCAATACAAACATGTAGTATAGTATTTATTCATTTATATACTTTTTAATCTCACCTATAAACAGCTACGTGTACACCGAGTGTAGTATCTTCTTTAAGTTTCCTTGCCTTTTTTTCACGTCGTTGATCAGCGGTAAGTCTTCGAGCTGCATTAGCATCTTCGTGTGCTTTTAATCTTTTAGCCATTTGTTGTCGAACATGAGCTTCTATTTTTGTAGGGTCTTGTACGGCTTCTGTACCTAATACTCGCATAAGATTCGAAATTCGTAATTTTGGTTCTGGAGGTGGCTCAAGACCTAATCGAATCTTCTCTTGTTCTTCTTTCCATGCTTCTCGTCTATTTTGCCTACGTAATTTCTTTCGTTCTTTCTTTGTTAGGAATACAGGCATATATATTGGTTTTAAAGGATCAGCTAAAGTAAAAATAATAATTAATCAAAACTATATGTATTAATTTATTATACGATGTATCTAAAATAAATGTTTTCCAACCGTTTATTAAGAAATACATACTTGGTGGTCGCATTTGTGTGGGATGTTCTACAAGATTCGTAATTGTAGAACATTTAATAGTTGTAGGTTCATCTTCGCCTGGATATCCTCCTGTTAATATAACAGAATCCCACCATTCTACGTTAGGCACATCTTCGCTAAGTGCTTCCGTTTTTGGTGCTATAAGTGCCAACTTAGTTGCCGAACTTATACCGGTTTTTCTGGCAATTTGACTAATTTCATTTTGTAATTTTTCTAATTGAGCTTTCATACGAATTCTTTCAGCCAACTGTTGGAACTTTCCTGGCTCGTGAAATTTTAATGTACGTTTGCCCCGTATTGCAGGTTTTACGCCTATTCTTGTATCAAAAAAGTGTGTATCTTGAATTTCCTCTGGACCTTTTGATTCTTGTAATTGGGCTTTAAATTCTTCACGTTTTTTTGCTCGAATATTAGCTTTCAGTGTTGGCACTACTTGCGTAAGTTGCACTTCCTTGCCCGTTATATCTACAGTTCTGCCAGATTCATCCAAAATTAGAGGAGTTGGTTTATCTGGAACGCTAACATTACCAAGTAATCCTGAACTTAGTTTACTTCTAATTTGAGCTTGTAAAGCAGCAATTTTTCGTGCTTTGTCAGAATCTGTTTTACTCAATAAACCCTGATTATACATGCTTCCTACAGTTGGTAAAGAATCTCGTGCTTTTAGTAGAGGTTTTACTGGTGAAATTTCCTCTTGCTTTATAGCTTTCAATGCCCTTTTTCTTTCTTCGATTTCTCTTTGGGCATTAGCCATCATTTGTCTTATCTGTAAGAAAACAATGAATAAGTAATTAATATGTTATTTGCATTAACACTTTTATATATGCCCATAACGATATAACTCGGTACCTTATCTGCTGAAAGCTGTGCTTCTGTTGTTTTTTCATTTTTGACTTCTTCATCTCTAAATCTAGGTTTCTTCGCATCTTTATCCTTATCTTTATCATCCACATGATTTCGTTTTTTACTTTTTTGTGCTGCTTTGGCATCATCATATATTGCAAATATTTTTTCAGTTAATTTTGAAGCTTTTTTATCTTCTAACAAAGCAGATAATTTATCTAAAGAATTAGGACAAGAATACAAATACATTATTTGTGTTTTAAAAATGATGAGCTAATATATGAAATTTTATATTGGATCTATGTTAGAACTAATCATATTAGATTGTTTGTAAATGACTAGAAACTGATGTAACTTCATTTTATATTTTGATAAGCTAGGAATATACACAGATAGTTGTCACCCATTGGTAGTAAAGTATTTTATGAAGCATTACCTTTAGATAATATAATGAATCAATTTATAATGTAGTTAATTGTTACAAACCTGCTGTTTTGCGCTTATCATAACCTGAAATAATACAATTGACAGCCGTGGTAACAATAGCAGGTTCTCCAAAACCAAGGAATTTGTGTACCGCTTTTTCAATTTGCGGTTTCATTTCATCTATTTCTTTCCTCGTTAAATATGCCATTTTTGCTATGTTTGTTGTAAAGAGTTATTTCTTTTACGAATCCGTCAACTTAGTACAAAATTATTTACTTCACAACATAACCTCTACAAATTATAAGATTAAGTATCGCATTTCAATTACACCTCCATTTAAGAACGATTATTGAATATTTCGAAAAGTACCGAAAATTCAGTTGTTTTAAAAAGGATTATCATGATATTTGTTTATGGAACAATATTTTTTTTCGAATTAGGTATTGGCACAAACGAGTTACAGAATAGACCTATCACCTTATGGGACTTCATGTTTCATGTTCTGAAATACCGATCGTGCAAAAAACGAAAACAATAGTTGTGCCATCTATGATTTAAGGAAGTAACTTTTGGAATTGTATAGAATTCAATAATCAAATTTGATAAAATTAACCGATATACAAAGGCCCTCTTTTATTACACTCCCATATAAACATTTCTACATTTACTTACATATATTAAATTGCATTAATACAACTGCATTAAGCAAACTGCCGACGGTAGGTAAGTACATGTATGAAACGAGTTATCAACCGACTAAATATTGTTTTTATAGTATTTATTCATTCTTACATAATGAAAAAAAAATTATTTCTGTTGATATAACTTTTATAATAATAGAATTATAAAAAAAGAATTCTTTTGCACAAATACTGAATCGTGGATAGGTTTGCTTCGTAATATCTTAACTTTTTTTGTATACAATTCATTTTGAAACAAACCATTAAATATCTTTGTGCAAACTAATTCACGAAGGCCGAAACTCACAAAGAAATTTACATAAGCAAGATTTTATTCTCTTATCTAGATTGATTCTTAAGGTAAATTTTGATGAATTATTTCAAAATTAATCGATAAATGAATCACATAGAAAAATGTTTTTTTAAATCAGTTTTAAAGAATACATTTGTAATTTCATTGTTAAATTTAGTTTTGATTCTAGCCACTACTAATGTCGTGATCTAATTCTATGCTGAATCGGTAACGTTGGAAGTGATACTAAAATAGGAACAGAAGTCTAGGGACTTTAAAATATGAAACACAAATATCCATCGAGTGTTACATCTATTCTATATCTCATTTATAACAGTTATAACCGCATTTAAATATTATCAATATCATATTACATTACCGTAGTTATTATTTAGTTACTAGACTTTTATTATTTTATTTACTAGACACATTAGTCGTAATGACAATATCAATAACTTCCCTACGATTTTCTCGAAAATATGTCTATGCTACTTCAAGCTGGTAAAAACTAAATATAATACATTTTTAGAATGAGTTTTATAATAAGTAATATTATCAAACAATTTTATAATGAATTTTATTACCAAATAATTGGAGGATTTGGAAGCAAATAATATACATAATATTGTGCACAAAGCGGCACAATATTTAAATACGTAATAAACAATGGGATAATTTCAAGACATTAAAATATCTTTTCCAACGTATAATATTTATTAATCCCTAATACAACATAGGTATTATGTTAAGTCCTTTAAATAAAAACTTTATTAATTCACTAGGTACGTGTAGAACTAGTTTATAATATATTTAATAATAATTGCACCATAGAAATTCTTTGACAAATGGTTTGCGCAAACTTCTAAAAGTAGCTCTTTAAACACTGGACATCTGTTGCTGCAGAGTACAACAGAAATTCCTAAGAGGTCACCCGCGTGTAATGAATCTAGATATACGTGAAGTTTTGCGATAGTAACTTTAGATGAAACTACCGATGCAAATTCACAAAGCAACATAAGCGATGATATGGAAAACGTATGACTTTAGATATCGATCTTATTCTAGATAACAAGCATTCTTACAACATATTTATACGAATGTACCAATTTACACTGGCTTCCATTTTACTGGTTTATGACAAACATATTTCATACGTAAAAATCGACCTTCATCGCAGTAATTTATATA